CCCTACAACTGTACGGACACTGTGAGTTCATTGCGGTCTAGCTCTTTTACATTTCCTGGTGATTGGAAGCATTATTTAACGATCTGAATAATCACAATTTGACATTGAAGTAAGGCAGAAAAAACTATGATAATCGCGATTCTGGAAGATAGAAAAGTTAGAGGAAGTTGGTGATTTGTTAATTAAATAAATAGCATGCTGTTGTTTAGCGCATTACTGAGCGTTGGATTGTTTGTACAGTAATTTCAATTTTCCGGTTTGTTCAGTGCGATAGAAGGTTGTGTAGATATTTTTACAAGTAACAACTCTTTGAATTGTTATAATTTGGTATGATTCAGGAGGAGCACTATGTTTCCAAGCTACATTTTATCTGGCCTCAGGTTTCATGCATGTCTGGATTTCTTGCCAGGGGTACCAGAGCCATCTTTGTCAGCTACAGAGATTGTTCGGACGAGGCAAGCTGCGCACTCTTTGTTTTAAATATAAATACGTTTAAATTTCAGTTTTGTGTATGATACGCTGTATCTGTTATTTTTAGGCTACATGGGACAAAATAATTCGAAACTCACGATGTCCTTGTGTTACATATTCTTTGCAGATCCAGAAATTTGGTTTTCGATTTTTGTCTCTCCATGAGGCAGAGAAATTCATGAATGCTTTGAAGGTGAAGCCATTACTGTCAGAAGTTTGAAGTGTGTTATTGTAATATATATTTCATAAAGAAAAAAGGGAACACGTATTATGCTCATTGTCATGCTACTGTGGAGAAGAGCTTTTTCGTTTATCCTGCAATGTTGGTGTTATATGCTTGGCCCATTTTTCAGGGTATCTGCAAGGAAGGGATGGATACTGAACCTGTTAATACTGACATTGGATCTGAAATTTCATCACAGTCTGAGCTCACGTCCTCTAATAGACCCCTCAATCCGTAAAATCAAAACTACAATCTCCTAAAATACTTCATTTTCCCCTTAGAGTAGATATATTTTTTCCATAAACAAGTCGAAGAGAAGTGGTGATAGTGTTTTTCTGTGTTTTCAGGGCTTGCAAGGACTTGACTACCATGACTCCTGTTCAGACTTATACGCCTAAAATATCACCCAGCTTGTTGAATAATGAAGCTGAGCAATACTCATGCACTCAAGAATTCACGCCTATTGATAACTTACAGAGCAACTTTGCAGCCTTGCCTCCAAGTTTCACCTCATTTCTGAGCAACTGTGGCCGTGTTGTTGAACAAGGTAGCTTTTATTATTATGAAATTTTCTTTTTTGGGGATAATTGGCCCAGGTAGATTGGTTGCCTTGAAAGTAAACTGGAAAACTTTTTCTGATTGCATTTGATGACTGGTTAACCATTTTCCTTGATTGAATGATGTAGTGGCAACACAACCAACTGGATCACAGGAAGTCGATCTCAAATCCCAAATCGCGGTAGCTTTCTTAACGCTTTAATTTGATGGTCTTAAAGAAAGTATTGGTCAGCATAATGTGCAATGGTTATGTTTTGCCTATTAATGCATGGATTTATTGCAATGCTGTTTCTGTCAACAGTGTATTTGCGTACAAGAGTTATTGATGTGTTCTACAGAAGTATTGCCAATGTATTAACATAAATGTTTTTTTGTGTTGCAGAGATATATGGAAGATGCTTCCTTCCAAGGTAGGTTCTAGTTTTATATAAATAATATTTTTTCTGATGAATCCTTTTAAGCTAAGTAATGTTCTGCAAATGAAACATGTTGTTGCAAGCTTGTTATGCCTGATGCCATATCTGTCTTTGTTCCTTGCTCATGGCAAACGACTTTGTACATCACATGTAGATAATAACTTAAGTTTGATGTCTGTGCTAAACATTTGAACACCGTCACATTCAGAAGCACTATCATCTCTGGACAAAGTTGCTTGGTATATTCCTTTTACTTGAAATGTTAATTTGTTTCTAGTTTCTTTCTTTCTTCCCTGTTATTTCCAGATATGTTGTTTCAAGTGGAGAAAGTTATCAGTGAAATAGGAGGCGATTCGATGCTGTGATTGTTCTTGGCCCTGCATTGGCGTTTCCTCTCCGGTTGCCCAGCCAGGAGGTGGGATTTTGTCACTTACAGCCCAAAACACGTTCTTATTCAAATGATTTCGTGGCAATAACTCTGTCTCTTTTTCTTTAATGTAAATCTTTTGCATGTCTTCTGCTATACACTCTAACATTTTCAATTAAATTTATTAGTTTTTTTATATTTTAATTTTGTTTGACCAGTAGTGGATGTATATGTTAGACAAATTAATACACATTAGTCATAAGGGTTTACGTTAATTATATTGTCATTGTGTCTTGGCTATTTATGATCCAGAATTAAAACCAATTAAGAAATCATTTGACAATTATAATAATTGGTGTAAACTTGCAACAAGCTTCGTCCTCCAGGCCTAGACACAACTGATGATAAAAAAGATTTCCTAGGTAGCTATAGTGGGTTAAAGGCCCGGCAGTTTTTCCTTATCTCTCCATTCTCTCCAGTGAGAACATTGATTCTCCCCATCTTAATCATGGCCCTAACAAATCTTTGAGTCCAAGAATCAGCACTAGCAGCCATCCTCATCACCATAGCGTTGGTGCGAGGATCAGTAACCAGAGCCTGATCCGATTGAAGCAAGGCTTTCCCTTGCATCAGGTTCGCATAGTATTGGTTGTCTAGGACGAGTGGTGATACGGGATCGAAGTCGACAACCCTCTTTTTGGCCTCGGCTTCAGGCAATGTGTTGGGTGCAGGGCACTTTTGAGACAGATCAGCAGCATAGAATGGGTCCAGGGCAGGGTCTTGGGCTTGAGTTTGGTCGTAATTGTAGAGCCTGTAATCAAAGAAGCTGCAGTGGGCAGCGCCAATGGAGTGTGCACCAGACAAGACAACCACTTCGTCAGAAGTCATGCCTCTTCTGCCGAAGTAGTCTATGATCTCGTTGAGGGGTGTCGCAGGACCAGGAACGGTGACGTCAGTAGCGCGGGAAGTACGGCTGTCGCGACGGCCTGCGGGGACTTTGTGACGTGGTAGGCCGGCGAGAGCCACGGCTTCCCGAGCAACAAATGCTAAAATGTCAGCGCAAGAGACGGTTTCTGGACACTCTGCCTCTAGCCTGGCCTTGATCTCGTCAATGACTTCCAAACCTCTGATCTCAACATTGGCTGGTGATTGCATCTCAACAGGCTCATGAGAGGGCGTTGAATCCAACAGAATTGAGGCATCGCACCCCTGTACATACACACATTGTTTCGATAATCATGAATTAATTCGTACGTAAACAATGATGCTAGAAGCACCAACTCGTAAGGGAATACTTACCTTGACAAAGCAATCATGGGAAAAGAGTCGAATGAAGGCAGCGGGGAGCTTTTTGTCTGCCTCCACAGCCTTGGACACAACGTCAGCCACAATTTGCTCGGCATTGGGACATCTGAGCCCGTAAAATCCAACATGCAAGCCGTTGCCTTGGCCTTTCTCAGCTGCCTCCGAACAAGGAATGATAAAGATGGTGCACAAGGTGAAGGTGAAGATTATTGTCGCAAGACTCATCTCCATGTTAAAATATTGGTGAATGTTTTTTTTTTCACCAATACTTTTTTTCTTCTTCCTCTTTTTGCTACCACCACAATTTGGACGAGAGGTGGGGTTGCCTTATATACCATGCACAAACCGTGTAGTTCTTTCCCTTGGATAAGTACCACGAGGTGTCCCCACACTTAAAAGGGTGAGATTAATCCTCGCTGCTGTTGGTCTTTAAAATTGCAAGAGTCTAGAAATATTGGTTTTCTTTTTCTTTTCCTTTTTTGTTAAGGTGCTTGGTCAACCAACGGTCAATATATTGAGTTTTTATTAAAAATAGTCAAAATTTGACCCCTACTTACATAAATGTCAATTTTTATAAAAACTTTCAAATATAGCAGAAATGTCACATAAATAGACTTAAATACCCTTAAATCTAAAACTAGCAAAAACCTTAAAAACAAAAGAATCGTTCAGGGAATACTCATGATCTGTAGCGTATATTCCCAAAGTTCAATTTTTATTATGTATTGTTACGTTTTTTATTTCTTATTTTTTTATTTATAATTATTATAAAAATGCGAGATAGATTGATAACAAAACAAAATTGCAAAAGATCTTCCACTAAAACATCATTGAAAACGTTCTGCTGAGTTTTCTGGACTTGGAACCAAAAAAAGGCAAGACTTAACTAACTACTATTTGTTACAATACCAATCCGCAAACCATCATCCGTTAAAAAGCCGATCTATTTTCAACAAGATGAAGAACTGCTTGAATCACACATGTGGCATCCCCTTCTATTGCACCATTAAATCTTTATATCTTGAATCGGTGCATGTATAAAACCATTAAATTTTGCTGTAAAAAATTCTTTTTACTTGAATATTTGTTTACAATATCCAAAGATATTCACTATAACTTTACATCTTCCAAGTTTTCTCTAAGTTAGAGGTATGTATGCAAAACGAAAATATCAACAAAATGATCTAAATAAACTTATAAATTAAATATTCTCAAAGTTTTATCTAATAGGGTTTTGCCTTTCAGGTTTACGTGAGTTTTGTTTTGAGGGCATTTAAGTTTATTCATGTGGATTTTTGGCTACTTTTGAAATTTTTTATAAAAATTGACATTTATGAAAATATAAGTTATAAAAACTCCAATATATTATGCATACCTTACCTACATAACACATTCTCACGCCAACCAAACGGCACTATGAATTTAAACGGCGTGAGATGTAACATGGTGAAGGCAACGTGATCTTGTGCTAAATGTTTAAAACCATCTAAAAATACGTTTTAGCGAGCTTTCATGAGTGCTAGTAGGTGTGCACAGAAAATGCTCGATAGATGTCCTCAATTAGAGTGCTCAATTTTCCTCCTTGATTGAATGGTTCGTTTGCAGAGATATATAGGGGAGATGCTTCCTTCCAACTTCCAAGTTGCAAGTTCCAAGGTAAGGTTCTATCATACACAAACCTAAAAATATATAGCACACCTGTCTGTCATGTCACTATAAATGACAGACATTACCTCTCATAGTTCATACCAATGTGTTATGTTCTAGATATCTAGAGACCTCCTTAGGCTAAATAACTAATAGTCAAATCAAATTCATAAAATCATTTAACAAAAAAACTTATAATTACAGACTAACTTACAGTAATTAAGCTTTGTCCAAGCCACAATGCAGAAATATTTTGTGTATCTTATAATATTTACATGTCTATATATCTCATCATTTTGTGACCTAATTATCTGACGAGAGATATATACAAGTTATTAAGTTACCCAACATGGGATGGTGACTTAAGTAGATTCGATACACTACGGTATATACACAATTATTTCTACATACAACTGACATTAAAAACTAAATTGCTCATAGTTGATTGCCCGACAATTTTTCCTTATCTCTCCAACATTTCCAGTGAGAACATTGGTTCTGCCCATCTTAATCATGGCCTTGGCAAATCTTCGAGCCCAAGATTCGGGATCCAAGGCAAACTGCTGCACCAATCCGCTGGTGCGGGGATCAGTAACCATTGTCTGATCCGACTGAAGCAAGGCTTTCCCTTGCAACAGGTTCAGGTAGTGGTGATTGTCCAGGACGAGTGGTGTTGTGGGATCTAACTCGACGGCTCTCTGTTTAGCCTCAGCTGGATTCAATGTGTTGGGTTTTGGGCACGTTTTAGACAGCTCAGAAGCATAGGATGCGTTGAGGGCAGGGTCTTGGGGCTGGTCGTTTTTGAAGGTGTAGAGTCTGTAGTCAAAGAAGCTGCAATGAGCAATCCCAATGGAATGTGCACCACTCAACACAACCATTTCGTCAATGGTGATGCCTCTTCTGGAGAAATAATCTATGATCTCATCGAAAGGTGTTGTAGGGTTAGGGATGGTGATGTCGGAAGCACGGGAAGTCCGACTGTCACGGCGTCCAGCGGGGACCATGTGACGTGGCAGACCGGCCAGAAAAACAGCTTCCCGAGCAGCAAAGGCTAGTATGTCAGCGCAAGAGACAGTTTGTGGACACTCCTGCTCTACCCTGTCCTTGATCTCATCAATGAGCTCATAACCTCTAAGCATTTCACTGGCTTGGGCTTGCTTCTCTACAGGCTCATGTGAGGCTGTGGCATCCAGAAGAATTGAGGCATCGCAGCCCTGTAATGTTAATAACCATGCAATTCATTAAGGAGGAGCATGATTTCAACTCATATTATTTGTACCATTTGCAACGTGTTGTTATTACTAGAGATGTTCAGTTGAGATGGTATAAATAGTTTTATCCAATCCGGATGTATATGGACTTACCTTGACCAAGCAATCGTGGGAGAAGAAGCGAATGAGGGCTGCGGGGAGCTTTAGATCATCCTGATGAGCCTTTGACACAATGTCAGCAACAATTTTTTCCACATTTGGGCAACTGTGGCTGTAAAAGCCGACACGTAACCCATTCCCAGTGCTTTCTCCAGCTGCCTCTGACCAAGGAACGATGATGGTGATGATGATGCACAAGGTGAAGAAGGTTGCTGTGGTGATCATTAGACGATCCATGATGTCCATGATAATTAATTAATGATTAATGATGTGCACTAAACTGTCAAATTTACATAGACGTGAGTGAAATATTAGGTTTCTTGTATTATAAGATAACAGGTGCTTGTCTTGCCTCAATATGTTTTCTCCTGGTGATTTGCCTGTTGGCCTTGCAAATAGTCTTGAGAAATGGGTTTCAAAATTTGTTAGGCTCTTCTTCTTCTTCTTCTAAACTCGGTTTGAAGTTTTTATTTTGTACATTTGGATTTTCTGTGTGGTGTAACAAATTTCGTACCAGTGAATTGTGAGTGATTGCCTTCCTTGGAGAGGGATAGAGAGGGGTAAGGGCCACCAGCCAATTAACATGACAAAATCCTTGAGGTAGGAATTTGTTCACTTTCAACCCCCCAAAACTAAGAGGAACAAAAATCACCACTCACCAAAAATAAATGTTTGCAACTTCCTAAGTTTGACATCTTTCTCTTTTCTTCTTTTGTGTTGGAATCTTTCTAATTTTGTTAGTGTCTGCAAATAAGCATGGCCCAAAACGAATTCTGATCAAACATGTAACATAATGTAATAAGTTAACAAAGATGATTTTAGAGGTTGAAATTATATTGTCCACTCAAACCTCTGTTTAGAGGCAAGAGACTTGTAGTTTAAGTGGTCAAAAACAGTTACTTCCGCACGTTCGAAATCCGCTGGTATAAAAAATAGACTCATCTAAGCCCTTTGTGAATTACTTGGGCTTTTATTCAATCCATCAAGAAAAGACAAGAATAAACTGTGGGCTTATTAGATCGGTAAAAACACCATGCTTGCTGGGCCTCAAAAATACCTATGATTCCTTTTGCTCTCGTTGGAAAGACTGCTGTAATCGTGCAATCAATCACCTCATCATGCTCCAATTAAAAATAACAAACCCTGAAAGTCTTATATATTTGATATTGCATCAACTTCTAAAATATGGTTTTTCTTAGTCGGCAGCTAAGAGTTCAAATGAGAAACCTAAGGAACCAAAGTACCAAAAACTTACTCGTAACCACAATTTAATCTTGATTAGCTCTTCGTTGCAATCTGAGGACACATTTTTTTCTTTTCAAATGTATCTTAATATAATAATGATTAATAATAATAATAATGATGATTCATATTACCTTCAGCTAAACGAGGAATTTTACCAGTCCAATGACACTAATTAGGCTGCAGACTCATTTTTCTCCCCAATGAAATGAAGCATCCTATATTATTCCTATTCAACGTGTTCATGCACAAAAAAATAAAAAATAAAAAATAATAATAATAATAATAATAATATGCAAAAGTCCTTGGCAGACCAAAGGGACAGCTGCCCCTTAATTAAAAACAAAGGAAGAAGCACCAAAGAGACAACCATGCTCTATATACGGCAAAAACAAAGCTGGACAACACATATTTGGTGACGTAGAGCATGTGTGATCGTTGGGCTTTTACAAGTGGGCAATCTGCTATGATAGCACGAAGGAAGTTGAGGTTCCACCCCAAAATCAATTGGCAATAGGGGGAGTAGCCCAATACTTTATATAAGTCCTTACAAGGTTTTTTAACTTTCCAACGTGGGACATTTTCATCTTCACATTCTCACATTGAAACTCCTACATTTTCTGCCTTTTCTTTCCTGCATAAGAAGGAACAAGTCCATATCACAACCATGGCATCCCTTCATCTCCTTACTTTTCTTCTCCTCTCTCTGTTTCTGACTTGATTTTCGGCAGGTTTTTCCGCCCGTGCATCTATCAAAGCTACTCTCCTAAATCCCATTTGTTGCTCTGCAAAAATCATGACGTGTAATGCCTCACTGTACCACATCAACAGCGGCCTGAAGAAAGAACAAATTGCCTCTTTCTATTCTGTCCATCCATCCGAAATCAAACCTATAAAGTACAACAGCGAACAAGATTACCTACAAAGTGAAGCCATCAGACACATTTTATAATGTCTCCAATCAAATTTACAGCGGCCAACCTAATGATCTGTCAAAGAAGAGCTACCGAAATTTGTTCCAGAAGCCGACTTTCCCATTCATCTTCCGTGTGGTTGCGTAGAAAGTGACTCTCAGATTGTGATAACATACACAGTTCAGGAGCATGATACGGTAGTCAGATATTGGAACTCTGCTGTCTGCCAAGATTGACAACATAAAAAGCATGAACAAAAATATGACTGAGAACCCTTCTTTCCTAGTTGTGGGTTGGGTTTTGTTTGTTCCCATGGAAAAGAATGGACTTAAAACACCAAATACAAGTGAGTTCTGACGAAGGAACGATGATGGTGATGATGATGCACAAGGTGAAGAAGGTTGCTGTGGTGATCATTAGACGACCCATGGTGTCCCTGTTAATTAATCAATGATTAATGATGTGCAAACTGTCACAATTACCTATACATGATTAATGATTAGTGTTATATCAAGATTGCAGGTGCTTTTGCCTTGCCTCTATATGTTTCTCTTGATGTTTTGTCTGTTGGCCTTTGTAAATATATAGTCTTGAGAAATAGGTTTCAAAATTTGTTAGGCTCTTCTTCTTCTTCTAATAAACTCGGTTTGAAGTTTCGATTTCCTGTGTGGTGTGACAAATTGCGTACCAGTGAATTGTGAGTGATATACCTTCCTTGGTGGGGGAGAGAGAGGGGTAAGAGCGGTAGGAATTTTGTGTTGTGATCTTTCTAATTTTATTAGTGTCTGCAATAAGCATAGCCCAAAACGAATTCTGATAAAACATGTAGAATAATGTAATAACAAAATATTATTTTAAAGGTTGAAATTATTTTGTCCACTCAAGCCTCTACTTAGAGGTCAGGGGCTTGTAAGTTAAGAGTAGTTATCTCTGCACTCGAGGTCCTATGTTCGAATCTCCTTTCTCCAATATCGCTTGTATAAAAATAAAATAAAAACCTTTGTCTTTAGAGAGTGGAAAGAAACCTTTGTGAATTGCTTGAGCTTCGATTCAATCCATGAAGAAAAGACAAAAAATAAACTGTGGGCTTATTAGATCATTAAACACCATGCTTGCTTTGCTGGGCATGAAAAATACCTATGGTTCCTTTTTTGTTCTTGTTCAATTGGAAAGACTGTAATCAATCACAACCTTAACTGGAAGGAACAACTCAGCACTCTCCAATAAAAAATAACAAGATCAAAAGTCTTATATATATATGACTTTACTGCATCAACTTCTAAGATAAGGTTTTTCTCAGCCGGCAGCAGAGAATTCAAATGAAGAAGCAACCTACGTACGTAACAAAAACCAATAATGTCTAACTTCTAACTCCCTGATTAATATTGTAACCACAATTTAATCTTGATTAGCTCTTCGTTGCCATCTGAGGACACTTTTTTTTTTTCTTTTCCAATATGATGATTATTTTAGTTAAATGAGGAACCAAGGCGGCAGTCCTTTTTTTTCTCACCAAGGAAGCATCCCATAATCCTATTCTACGTGTTCATGCACTAAAAATAATTGTAATATGCAGAAGTCCTTGGCAGAGCTGTGAAGACATCTCCGGCTTTAATTTAAGGTATAATTCTAATCAGTAAAAAAATAATTAATGGAAATATAAGAATATATCTGATTGCTCAGATAGAAAAAATATCTTTCCAGCCGCCCCTGAATTAAAAACAAAGGAAGAAGCTCCAAACAGCCAACCATGCATTACAAACGGCAAAAACAAAGCTCGTGTTTGCTCTACTAATGACAGTAATAAGAAAAATATATAAAAAAACTGGACCAGTCCAGACTGCCTTTTAATAATGATTAATGTCATATGTTCCACTGACGCAGCACACTAGCGTTTTTATCTGTCTATATCAATAGACCCCAGTAAATGCTTAAATTAAATATTTGATCTTGAGCCGTTCGATCTACTTCTGCTCTCTTGATACCAAAAATTTAGCAATGTCCCTGAATTATAGGTTGTGTTCTACTTTGCCTTACGTACTTTCAATTAGTTCTCGTAAACTTATGGTTCGTGTCATGTCCTCCTGCATTTAGTTATGTCAATTATTCAGTCAAATTGAGGGTCACTTTCGTCTATTTAAGTTGGGACTTGATCTTACCCCCTACAAAAATATGATCAAGATTAGAAAATTATAGATTACATTTTCGTCGATGCTTACAAAAAGGTCATATAAAAACTTTATCTATACTATTGAGTAATATATGAATTCAACTCTCTTTGCAATAACCTACGGAAACCTAAGCAGTTTCCAAATAAACAAGGGTATTCCCACCAATCACTTCTTTTGGTGTTGCTTGAGAAACAAACAAAAAACAATGCTTTGAAACTCCTACATTTTCAGCTCTTTCTTTCCTGCATAGGAAGGAACAAGTCCACACCACAACCATGGCATCCCTTCATCATCTTCCTTGTCTTCTCCTCTCTCTCTGGCTCACCCAATTTCCTGCAGGATTTGCCTCCGATGCATCTATTATAGCCACTCTCATAAACCCTTTGAGTTGCTCTGCAGAAATCATGACATGTAATGCCTCACTGTACCACATCAACATCAGTCTGAACAAAGAACAAATTGCCTCTTTCTACTCTGTCTTTCCATCGGAGGTCAATCCTATAAAACACAACAGCAAACAAGATTACCTCGTAAGTGTGCCTTGTTCTTGCAAAAACATATCTGGCACTGTTGGATATTTCTATGATACAACCTACAAAGTGAAGCCATCAGACACATTTTATGATGTCTCCAATCAAATTTACAGTGGCCAACCTTTGTCTGTCAAAGAAGAGCTACCGAAATTCGTTCCAGAAGCCAACTTTCCCATTCATCTTCCGTGTGGTTGCGTAGAAAGTGACTCTCAGATTGTGGTAACATATACAGTTCAGGAGCATGATACACTGTCGGATATTGGAACTCTGCTGTCTGCCAAACTTGAAAACATAGAAAACATGAACAAAAATATGACTGAGAAACCTTCATTCATAGTTGTGGGTTGGGTGTTGTTTGTTCCCATGGAAAAGAATGGACTTAAAACATCGAAAACAGGTGAGTTCTGTTTTAGACTTCTTGACTAAATTTCACGTGCTTGAAATATCTAAGAATCTATGTCCACAGTTGAAAAAAACAAAAAAATGTCTCGCGTCCAACATGAATGAATTTGTTGGTCAACAATTTTTACCACAAAAAAGGAAGTTCTGAATCAAATCGAAATTTACTGGAAATCAGATTACT